GCTGACCGTGAGAGCTAATCTACCCTGTGTGTTGGAGCTCCAGGACCCTGGTGAGCACATGACCACTGCCCTCGGGAATGGACATTGGCAGGCTGGCCTGTGAGAGCTAACCTGGCCTCCAGACTTCCAGCTAAGATGGACCCGGGGAAGAGGAGGGGAAACCCCATTAGTTCAGAGCTCAAGTGAGTTGGAAACGTGCAGATAATTCCATCAGCCAGCCCTGGCCTGAACTGTCCTTATAGCAAGAGGTGGGGCTGCAGAGCAGGGAGAAAAACGTTTGCTCAGTAAACCAACAGCGCAAACCAGAGAATGGACGGACAGGAACAATGGCCAGATAAACACAGGAGTTACAAAAATGCACACCAGTCCAAGGGATCTGCTTTAAGAGCTGACATCCAGGTCAGGCTTCGTCTTCATAAAACACTTTCAGAAATGATTTTATTTGGTTGTCACAGTGAAGGCTTGGGGCTGGAGATGGAGGCCAGGTGTCCTTCCTCAGGGTCACCAAGGAGGCGATGGGAGACTGAGGGGACAGCCCAGCTCTCCCGGCTCCCATCCACTCCCACCCAGATGCCGAGGAGACCCGAGCCCAGACCTGCATCACCAGTGTGTCCCTACACCCGCATTTCCCACTGCCCACGGCACCATCCGCAGACTTGACCTGAAACCTGAACCATCCAAACCCAAACTCGTCCGCTTTGTTACTCACGCTGCTTCTCCTCCTGTATGACCTCTCTCCACATCACTGGCCACCTTGGCATGGTCCTTGTTTCCTCCATCCACCCAACTCACAGAATCCCACCAGTAATGAAACCCAATGATCCTGCATCGATTGGAAATGGCTCGGAATCTACCCCTCTTTCCTCTTACCACTGATGCTGCCTACATCTGGTCCACATCAGCGCTCAAAGATTCTACATCTCAAGATATGCCTATCCCGTAGCCACGACTGATCTCTCTGTAGCTCCGTCCATCCTCCACACTGTGGCCATCTTTAATCCAGGGATCTGAGTACCCCTGGATTAAAACAAACAAGCCTATTACAGGTAGAGGTGGGCCCAGGATTTGTGGGCTGAATCTTCTACAATTTAAGGGGCTGCTTTAAGACCCTGGGTGTCCAGCACAGACTGGGCACACCTAGGAGCATCATAAATATTTCATTCGTTTCTACAGACCCTCTAAGTTCCTATAATATTGCATCCATTTCTACTTTACGAGACACTTAGAGTCACAGAGTCTCATTTCATCCTCACAGTAACCCGTCTGAAACAAGTGAGGCTTATATATGTGTGTGTGTGTGTGTGTGTGTGTGTGTGTGTGTGTGTGTGTGTGTGTGTGTGTGTACACACATACATTTCTGCAGCATGTATTTGAATGACTACCTTCTTAGACACGAGGAAAAGGGCTTGCAGTCTGTCTGCCCACTTCAAGGTCCTCAGCTGGATTTGCAGCAGAGCCGGGGCTCTGGTGGAAGCTTCTGATTTCCACCCCTTGGCCCTCACGGGATACCCACTGCGCTGCCTGCTGAGAACTCCAGCTCGACCTCGGGCCAGGGAGGAGCCGAGTCTCCTAGGAGGCTGGGATCACTGCCGCCCTCCTGCCTTCCCTGGGGTGGACTTGAAAGTGGGCACAGCCCCAGCAGGAGCCCCCAGTGCAAAGAAAGCAGCCTGAGGCTTTCTCTGACCACGCCAGTGGGTGGGAGGGGGTGCTTTTTCCAAGCTCAGAGCGACCAAGGGTTGGTCTTCTGTCTCTTCAGCAGCAGGAATGGCAGCGCCCCTCGATTGAGAACATGTCACTATACCCGCCTGCTGCCTTCCTGGCCTCCAAAGACAGCTACCTGGCAGGGCCGCGCAAAGGCTAAAGGGCCAGCGTATACGCAAAGCACTTAGCCTAGCCCCTGGCATCTCCTGAGCACTAAACAAGCAGTGTGCTCCGCAGCTCCAGATCTCGTGTGCCCGGGCACTGGGTGTGGTGACCGAAGAGGCTCTGTGTCGACTGGAAATGTACGTGTTTGTGCGTTTTTCCCTTTTTAAACAGTGCGTCGACCTACCATAAGAGAACGACGAAGCCCACAGCAAGGCCGGCCAGGACTAAGAGGACCGCGGGGAACACGACAGCCAGTATCGCCAGGATAAACACCACCATGAAAAACTGCTGCAGAAAGTTCTCGGCATGAAACGGCAGCCTCACATCCAGCTCGTCCATATCCTTGGAAAAGCGGTTCATTAGCCTGCCAGTGGGAGTCGTGTCAAAGAAGCTCATCGGGCTCTTTAAGATCTGTGGGTAAAAGCCTAGAGTCAGAGGCCGAGATGCTGCTCTGCTGGGCCTGGAGCCGCAGAGCGCGAGGCCCTCGCTTTTCTTGGGGAGACAGCAACATGCGCCAGGCAATCTTGGGGAAGTGAAGGTGCTCCCCGTTCTTGTGGGCACCCGGAAGAAAGGAACTTGAGAGAAGTCCCGCCTCTGTTAGGAGCTCTAGAGAGCTCCCAGGCCAGCTTCTGCTCCAAACCCTGGAGCAGCTTGGGGTGGGGAGGCAGGTGCCTTTGTAGGAGGGAGGATTATGACCCCACAGGGGTAAGAAGCCAAGTTCCACTGGATCTCTGCCCCCAGAGCGAGATCTCAGCCAGGGGCTGCAGCCCACCTCAGCAGTAGAAGTAGGCGGGGCCAGGAGCAGCTCTTGAGGCCCTCAATGCACTCAGGGCTCTTTGGAGCAGGAGATGCCCTCTTGGCCTAAAGATCCCTGCTCCAGAGTTGCTTCCTCGGGGAGCCTTCCTGACCGCCCCCACAGTTTGCCTTCACAGTTGGGAATTAGACAGTTGGGAGACTCTTTCCAGACTAGATGGTAAGCTCCGTGAGGCTGTGTCTGTCCCCAGAGCCCAGCACCGTGCCTGGCACGGGGTGCTTGTTAGCTGCCGTTGAGCTGGGCCCTGACTCACGGGGGCCCCAGGCACAATGGAATGAAACATTGCCTGGTCCTGCACCAGCCCCACCATCGGTCGGGGAGCGGACTGTTGCGATCCGTGGGGTTCTCACTGGCTGATTTTCACAAGTAGGTCAGCAGGCCTTTCCTCCTAGTTTGTCTTAGTCTGGACGCTCCACTGACCCTTGTTCAGCGTCACAGCAACACACAAGCCTGCAGAGACAGGCAGGCGGTGGCTGTGCATGATGTGCATTGCCGGAAATCTAGCCCAGGTCTCCCACATGGAAGGTGAGAACTCTACCACGGACCCACTGCTCCCCATTCTGGCACGCAGCAGATGCTCCATAAACCCTGTTGCGTGAACAGTCGGATGCTCGTGCAGCCCCCCGGAAGCAGCACCTTGTCAAACACTTGGTCATGTAAGGAGGAGGAGGCCTTCAGTGTGGTCTTGGTGAAGGTGAAGCCTTTGGTGATGCCAAACACCAGCACGGAGACCATGCTCCCTGCGTATACCCACTGGTGCAGATGCTCCCCCGTGTCCGCCAGCACCGCGCCGATCTCACATACGGTCTCGTTGGCCTGGGGCCCACAGGTCATCTTTGGAGGAAAACGAGAGAAGCACAAAGTGTTGGTAAACAGTCAGGAGAACAGGAACTTTCAAGAGAGTCTAATTGCTAAAGGTGGGCCACGTGTGTGAAATCAAGTCAACTCCCACTGAGGGCCTTTGAGATTTGCAGGGTCCTCCTCCTGGGTGGCTCTGACTCCACGGGGGCACCTGATTTACAGAGCTCAGCGCGTCAGTGGGAAAGTAAAGCCAGCAAACCAGGCAAGTGCGGGCAGCCGTCCTGGAGCTGGCTGTGCCTCCCGAGGCCAGAGGGGACTCTGAGTCACAGAAGCAAGCGCAAAACCTGGAGTCCACAAGGCCTGCTCAGTAAGCCGGAAGCCTTCCAGATAGAAAAGGGAATCAGGGACCCACCACCGACAGCTTAGCTGCCTGGCAGAAGCCGCCAGGCCTTCGGGGGACTCAGGGGCCTCTCTGTACAATGGACCAGCTCCCCAGGCCCCCCGTCTCTTTACTCAGGGGGCACTGGTACCCTGCCCTGCAGCTCTTGGTAGGGGGATGCCTAGTGAACACAAGGGGTCCTTAGACGCCCCAAGGACACCAGGGCTCCATCCCACCCCAGTGATAACACACAGCTTTTCCAGCAGACTATGCTACCATAGCATTTCTGCTCCCGAGAAACTGACAGCTGGGTTTTTCTCTGGGCTGTGTGCTAAAAGTCAAGGCCGCCTTGGGGAACAAACAAGCCGCTTTCTTCCAAATGCAATTTTGCTGATTACGGTCACAGTGGAAATGTAAACCAGAGGGGGCTGATGGCCGAACACCCGTGTAAGCCAGAGCGGCCCTGGGGAGCTCGTTCACGAAAGGCCCTGCTTGCACAGGAGACTTAGCTCTGCCTTAGGCTGTGGCTACCCGTGGCTGGGGTGGGACAAGCACGTGGGTCTGCCACCATCGCTGCATGTTCAATCAGCCACCGGCAATTGGCAAGCCCCCAGCCTTGGACGAGGCTCCACCTTGACCCTGACCTTGGGCCCTCCTGGAGCAGGAGGGGCTGGGAGAACACATATGTTCGAGGGACAGCTCTCTTCCTGGAGACAGCAGGCCACCCGCTGGCTTACTCCCGTTGGTAATGGCCTCAGGAAGCTGTGCCAAGCTCAGAGAAAACCGTAGCGGCCTCTTCTGTACAAGTCCTCCCAATGTGGCCCCCTCACTTTGGTTGTCATAGCAACAATACTACCAAAATATAATCTTGGAGGACGGGCAGGTGGCCCCACAGCATCCCCAGGGGCTCCAGAAAAGCTTTGAAACCCCTGGCCCAAAGCTGGGCGCCTCTGGCAAGCTCAGGTGAGAACAGACTCACCAGTTCCTCCCAGTGGGGACCTGGCCCCGGCTCGAGCCCCGGGGAGCTGTGGCCCTCGGCACATCAGGGCCTGATCTCGCCTTGTGTGGCCTGTCCCTATAGAGGGACACTTGGGAGCTGAGCCCTGGGCACGGTTCATGACAAAATACCAATTTCTCCTCAGAGACAGGAAGACAAATGGCAGGCCCCTCCCACCCCCTCTGGGAAGGCGCCTCACGCTACCGGACGCAACCCACCCCATCGCGCAGGCTGTGGGGCATTTCACAAAACAGTCTTTTTAGTCAACACTTTCAAAGTGGCAGGTAAAAATCTGGATGTCCTGTTTGTCTTGAAAAGCAAAGGGGGGTTCGGGAGTCTCCACTGTATGGTGTAAGCAGCTGACCTTCACTTCGTGGGAAGAGGCCGTGGGTGGGATGCTCATTGTTCACGGTGCACTGCCGGGCACATTCATACCCCCCACCAGCAAGCTTTTCCAATGCCAAAGGGAACTCACCCGCGAGCCCTCGTCTAGCCAGACACCCAGCCACCAGTTGCTGAAGGCAGAGCTGCCGATCATCAGGAGGAACAGGGTCACGGCCAGGAGAGAGAGGAGGTACCCTGCAAGAGGGGGGAGAAGCCCAGGGGGTCACAGTGGCGCTGGGCCTGACCCTGAGGGGATATTCAAAGCCGGCAGGAAAAGGACCCCACCCCTGGGAGCCACCTTCTAGGACAATGCCACAGTCTGGCTTTGGAGCCCTGGCACTCAAGCGGACATCTGTTCCATTTGATTGGAAAACTGGTCCAAATTTTCAACACCTTGGAAAAACCGCCAATTTGCACTTTAACGGAAGCGACTCAGGATTCTCTAAAAACAAATAAGAGCCCCATGTTGTTAGGGAGGGACGGAATGTAGCTACAAGGTCCGTTTTGTACGTCAGGAGGGGAATTTGTATGGAGGTGGGCAATGAGCAGACTGGGCTGCACCCCGCGGTCAGAGGACTCTGGGCTGTAGAAGAACTGTAGCTGATCCACGCTGCTGCTCACTCAGCTTCTACAAAATAGGGTCTGGCAGCTTTAATGGACATAAAGAATGATTCCATTTAAGAGGCTGTATTATCAGACTTTAGATTTTAAGGAGAGGAAAAAAAAGCGTTGATAAATGACCTTAGCATAAAGAGAGTAATTGTTAAAGGAATCACAAAACGTGAACCCAACAGTTTAAGAAAGGATTTTTCCAATGCAAATTAAATTATATCCAACCTCCAGAAGCCTTGATGTATGTGTGATACGTTTTCCAGGTCACTGATCCCTCCCGGGGGGATTCGGTCTGGATGAGTTGATGCACAGGAGCTATGGAGACAAAGAGAAGCCTAGTAGCGTCCACCACTGGGGTGAGGAGCCCCCGAGGCAGGCACATGCTATCAGCGTGCCGCACACCTCCCCCAAGAGCAGTTACGACCCTGCCTTGTCATTGCCCCGTGTGTTCAAATGCCTAACACGCTTTTGCTCCTTTTAGTCTATTTGAGCCTCATTCCAGCCCTGTGATGTAGGTGGCCTTCTCAGCAATATTTATGATAAAGCCCCTACTATGTGCTAAGGAGTCCTGGTGGCGCAGTGGTGAAGCGCTCGGCTGCTAACCGAAAGCTTGTTAGTTGGAACCCACCGGCTCCTCCGCAGGAGAAAGATGCGGCAGTCTGCTTCTGTGAAGATATACAGCTTTGGAAACCCTCTGGGGAAGTTCTACTCTGTCCTATAGGGTCACTGGGTGTTGGAATCGCCTGGAAGACAGTGGGTTTTGGGTCTGTGCTAGGCTCTGGGGGTGCGGGAGCTGTTAGTTTGGTTCCCCCAGAAGCAAATCTGCTTCTAAGAAGAGGGAATGAATACAAGCAGTTTGAGGGAGTCCCTGCGCTTTATAGGGTTCTCAAAGGCTGATTTTTCAGAAGTAGAAGGCCAAGCTTTTCTTCCAAGGGGCTCTGGGTGGACTTGAACCTCCAATCTTTCTGTTAGCAGCTGAGTGCATTAACAGCACCACCCAGGGATGCTTAGCATCTATCACAGGGGTCAACAAGAAAGAGGTTGTTCCTGTCTCCTAAGAGCTCACACTGCGCAGAAGGAACCCGAGGTGTCCTGGTCACCTGCTGCGTGGAGTCCCTCCGTGTGTCTTCCGCAAAACAAGGAAGCCAACTGCCTTCCAGTCGATTCCGACTCAGGGTGACCCCATGTGTGTCCCAGTAGAACTGTGCTCCATAGGATGGCAGTGATCTTTTGGAAGTAGATAGCCAGGCCCTTCTTTCAAGGTGCCTCTGGGTGGACTCAAACCACCAACCTTTCGCTCAGTAGCTGAGCTCTTAACCATTTGCACCACCAGGGACTCCATGGCTCTCTCGAGTCTGCTCCATCTCGCATAGTGAAGGGGAAACGGCTGTTGGGTTCTCAGCACAGAACACAGAGAGGCACAGGGAGGCCGGCTAAAGCAGCCCCCAGCAGCCGGTACTGAACACGCTTGTCTTGCCTCTCCTACAGAGAAGCGTGAAAACACCAACCCCAAGGCAGACTCAGAAACTATACTTGGCTTCTATAAACAGAAACGGAGGGAGACAAGGGGCACCCCACGCCTGGACTCTGCCCGACAGGGACAGCTTTTCCAGACATCAAAGGGCTTCACTGAACAGCACCATCATTGTGCTCGGCCTGGGAACCTTTGGAAAATTTCAGCCTGACTTTCGCCCATTGTATCCCCTCTGGGGCTGCAGAACGAGGGAGCCGCCCCGGCGTGAGCTTCAGAGCCTAATGAAGGACATCCTGGGGCGCAAAGGGGGCTGGTCGAGTCCCCTGCCACCCGCCAGCCCTGCCAGGGTGCTGTGGTGCTCGTAACACCTTTGCTGCATTGGGAGAATGCTCTGGGGCCAGGCAGGCGGCAGTGCTGCTGTCAATGGTTCACAATCCCTCCAGCTTTCAGAGCTTTTAACGGTCCAGTTGTTCCTCCTTAGGGCTGGGCCAAAGTGGCCGGGACTTCACTCTGCTCTCCAGGGAATGGGGGTGGTGAGAATTAGAGGCGCAGCATTTACTCTCTCCACAGGACCCCAGATCACAGAGCTCTCTGGGAGAGAGCTTGCTTTAGCCACGGAGGCCTTCAGAGCAATGAGAGTATTTTGTCATTTCAAACGGGTGTTCCCTTGTCACAAGCACCATTAATAGTGCCATATTTTATCAATCGGAAGATTCACAATTTTTTTTACATTTTATCAGCTCTAAAATCAGGATGGGCCTTCCGTTGGATAGCATGTCATGTGGCTTAATCGGCCGCGATTTCTCTCTCAGTGGTACATAAAATAATGGCGATCTGAAAATGGATGGCATCTTGAGTTTGACGAGAGGCACTGGGCTGTCTACTTTTTCTCTGCACACGTTGAGGGAGGGGGCTGTCACTTGGGAAGCCCCTCGCCATGGGCACTGTGAGGACGGGGCCTGTGGGTTTTGCTCTCAGCACTGGGCGTGGAGCAGGCGCTCAGCAGTGTGGAGGGGATGAAGGGCTGGGAGGTAGAGCGTCCAAGATGACCGAGCATTGTGGGGTGTTCAGCAGCGTCCCCTGGCCAGCCTGGCTCTCACTGGGCTCATCTCCCACATCCCTCCTCCCTCTCGCCATCACCCCAGCCCCTCCCCCCTCTCTTCTCACCACAACCTCCCTGCCAAATGCCTGCATATTCTTGAAGGACCCGTCCAAAGGTCCCCTCCTCTGTGAAGCCCTTCCTGACTCAATGCTTCCACCCTCACTCTCCATTTCCCTTATCACAGCGTCCCGGGATTATCCATTTGCCTGTGACCCCTATAAGAATTCTTACAGTCAGTCCCATGGACTAAGGACGGGGCATCTCTTTATCTGTCTCTCCCAGCCTAGCTCACTGCCCTGTACATGGTAGGTGCTTGGTCTTTGTTGAAAGAATGAATACCCCTCCGTTGCTGCACTGTCCTTTCTCAATGCTCCCCACAAAGTGTGGGAAACATCTGTTGTCCTCACTTTCACTTCTAATTAGCCCCTGCGCGTTGCTTTGGTCTCTCACAATAACAATGACAACAACGAGAAACTGTGTGCCAGGCACTGTGCTTACCACTTCATGCAGTTTCTCATTGAATCATTGCAAGGTTGATACTATTATTTCCCCATTTTATGGATTAGCAGACTAAGGCTCAGAGTGACCACAGACTGGCCCGAGGTCACAGATTAGTAAGCGGTGGAGCCAGGATTTGAATTCATTCAGCCAGACCCCCAGGCTCCCACTCCAGCAGACTATACTGTGCTGGTTCTCCAAAATGGCAACTGCTCTGCCTACACTTTGGAGCCCTAGTGGCCCAGTGGTTAAGAGTTCAGCTGCTAACCAAAAGGTCTGCAGTTCAAATCCACCAGCTGCTCCTTGGAAATCCAATGGGGCAGTTTTACTCTGTCCTATAGGGTTGCTATGAGTCGGAATCGACACGACGGCAATGGGTTTGGCTTGGTGCCTTTATCATCCCAAACAGTAGACATTCAACAAATACTTAAGACCATGTGACTGAGAAAATGAATGGCAAATACCTTTGACATCTACAAACTCTGAGTCTGTTTCCGATCCTTTCCCTTCATCTTTCTCGTCTCTTGGGGCCATAACTAGGGTAAGAAACAAAGATAGATCTGTGCCTGTTCAGGAGCCGTGGGCAGTGAGGGGCGTGACCCTAACTGATTGTACCGGCATCCTCGTCTCTCTCGGCAGCGCTGTCTAACAGGGTGTCCGCCAGGGCCGCGTTGTAAATGTCCTCAGGATCCTGGAGACAAAGGAAATCCCTTCTGACAGCTAAAGGGCAGAGCTTCTCCCGGCCCTAAATTCCGCAAGAAGACGCCTACCCTCTCCCGCCTTGGTACCCCACCCTCTTCCACCCGGGTCCTCCACCGGGTCCCGACTGGGTATCCCCCCTCCTCCCTGGCACCCCGCCCTCTCCCGCCAGGGCACCCGCAGACTGACCTTGAACTGCAGGCCCCTGAGGCTGTGGATCAGTTTCGCGTAGCGCCCTCTCTCCCGCATCAGCTTCGTGTGGGTTCCCCTCTCACAGATCTCCCCATCTTCTAACAAAATGACCTCATCACAAGACTCCAGGAACTGCAGGGAGAGAGAACAGGTCTACGGCGGGCTGCTGCCTTCCTAAGAGGGAGGGGAGCACCAAGCCAAACTCCCGTCCAGTGGGTCCTGGGCTCACCTAGTGATCAGTTTCTTGACTGAGACACTATAGACCCCAACTCATGGCAACCCCCCGCGCCCCCCCCGTGTGTCAGAGCAGAGCTGTGCTCCATGAGGTTTTCAATGGATAATTGTTTGGAAGCAGATCACCAGACCTTCCTTGTGACACACCTCAGGGTGGACTCAAAACTCCAGCCTTTCCACATTAACCACTCGCTCCACCCAGGGACTCCCTACTGCCGCCAAAACACCAAACCCATTCCCAGCAAATCAGTTCTGATTCTTGGCAACTCCCCGCGTCGGAGTAGAACTGTGCTCCACAGGGTTTTCAGTGGCTGTGACCTTCCATAAGTGATCGCTAGACCTTTCTTCTGAGGTGCCTCTGGGTGGATTTGAACCGCCAATCTTTCCATTGGTAGCTGAGCACCACCCAAACCGCAAAAACCAAACTCATTGCCGTCAAGTCGATTCTGACTCACGGTGATCCTACAGGACAGAATAGAACTGCCCCTAAGGGTTTCCAAGGCTGTGATCTTCATGAAAGCAGACTGCCACGTCTTTCTCCTGCGGAGTGGCTGGTGGGTTTGAACTGCTGACCTTTCGGTTAGCAGCTGAGCGCTTAACAACTGCGCCATCAGAGCTCCCCTTATTGGCATGAGGGGTCGGATAACTCTTTGTTGTATAGGACTGTCCTGTGTATTGTAGGATTTTAACAGCTTCCCTGGCCTTCCGCAAGGGATGTTTTCAGACACTGCTGAAAGTCCTGGGGTTGCGGGTCGTGTAAAATTGCCCCTGTTCGAGAAATGCCGACCTAGTACCCCCGGCTCTCCTGGTGCAAAAGGCCCTCTGGCTGTCAGGATGAACCACACGAAGGACTTCACTACCGTCTCTCAAATGCAGCTGCCCTCCTAAGAGATCTCATCATGGAGACGTGGAAAATAAATGGGCAAAATCCCCGCAGCCTCGACCCATCATCTGGCAGAGAGGCGAAATACCTTCTCAGCGAGAGCCTCCCTCTGCTCCAACAATTCCGCACGTGCCCTCATCATCCCCATGTGGCCCAGGAGAAGCTGACCACGCGTGGTCCCCCAGCCTGGGGAGCTCACCCTGGCTTCATATGAGCGATAGAAACATAGCCACGTTTAATGATGGCACCCCACGTTTCGCCCACGGCAATTCTCTATCTCTAATTTGATTTCCCTTCACTCCCGTATCACTCCTGAGATCAAAAAGTTCTGCCAGGAGGAGTTTCCTTTCATTTTAGAATAAGATAGATCCCTTCCCATAGGATCCACCCAGCTAAGGGCGGGAGCCCCCTCCTAGAGGCTGGCTGAGATGCTGTGAGATGTAATGTGGTTTTGGCCAAAAGAAGCTTTTGGTGCGGGCCAGAGGTCCTCCCCTGTACCGTGGGGCTGCCCAAGGTCAGTCAGCCTTGGATGCTCTTGATTTTAGAAGTCTGAGAGAGTACCTCTGCGTGCCCACTGCCCACCTGGCACACCGAGTATATGCAGGGTGACCAATGATAAGAACAAATGATAGCAGCTTGGAGAAGCTGCTCGCCTGGATAGCTCCGGCCTTCACGCTTCCCTTAAACCAGCTCTGTCTGACCCCTTCTCCAGACATCCCAAACAGAACAGCCTGATTTTTGATGTTGAGAGACTTCTCCCTGAAAATAACCTCACGATATTTTCTAGTTGTTCAAAGCCCAGTGCCATCTCTTATATCTCTCCGTCTCCCACAACCCAGGAAAGAAAGCAGGCAGCTTTATCATCAGCCTATTTTCCAGGTGGGAAAACCGAGGCACCGTAGAGCCTGGTGTAGCCCCACGCTCTCTCTTGCGTGCACCATGCACACACTCCAGCCCCCAAGGCTCCTGGCAGAGCGCCCTGGCTGTGGAGCCCCAAGCCCCCTGGCTCACTCCAGCAAGGCCTGGGGGGATCTGAGCAGCTTCTTCTGTAAACTCTCCGGGACCCTGAGCCAGGGGCCATCCCAGCAGCCAGCCTGCCGGCCTCACTTCATTTGCTTGCTCAGGTAGCAGAAGAGCAACCGCCGGCCCAAGTGCTCAGAGGCACTCGGGTGCCCTGCCAGCCCCGAGAGTCAAAGCAGCAGAGAATGTTCTGGAAGATCCCCCTGTGCTCCTTCTGGGCTGCTGAGCCCCCTCTTCCCCTGCAATGGACAACCGAATGAGACAACGGCGCCACCTGGTGGCTGCCTGTGTTTTCCAACGCGCAAAAAAGTGAGCTAAAATGACCTCGGTGAAAGGCAGAATTCTTCTTTAATTTTTTTAAAGTGAAGGAGGCCTGATCATCAACACACCCATTGTACCGATGAGGAGACTGAGGGCTGAAGAAAAAACAGTTCTTGCCTGAGATCATGCTGCTGCTTAGGGGGTCTTACAGATTGGGCCAGAACGGGTCTCCTGACCCCTAACTGGCTGTGTGAGTCCGGCCTCCATGAGGACGGCACCCAGAGGCGCCTTGGAAGAAAAGTGTGGGGTCTGCTTCCAAAAGGTCACAGCCTTGAAACCCTGTGGAGCACAGCTCTAGCTAATCTGCAATACATGGGGTCGCCATGAGTTGGAATCGACTCCACGGCGGCTGGTTTGGATTTTTGGTTTATGAAGCCTCCTGAAGATACAGCTCGGATCCACATTTGTCAGGTGTCAGGCAGCCCCTCCAGATCCCCAGGCACCTCAGGAGGACAGCCCTCTAGACTGCAGGTGGTCTCCAGGGTTGGAAATACAGGCTGCAGAGCTGTGCACCCTGGCTGGGTGAGCGTTCATCCCCAGTCGCCTCGAGACTCAAGGAAATCCAGCCTTCTCTTGCAGCCTGGCCCCTGGCCCACAGAGGAGCTGGGAGCCCTGGTCTGCACAAGCCCAGCCTGATCTTCCTGGAGGTGACCGGGCCCATTCAGAGGAAACCCGGGCGGTCTCTGCATGTGACAGTCAGGTGCTTGAAGCCTGTTCTGGGGCCAGAACTCCAGCCCTTAGCACAGGTCGGCTCAGGCTCGGGGCAGGGCCACAGCGACGGGAAGACCTGTTTTTCCTGAGTCTTTAGGAATCTTTCCCCCTGTTCAGACTGACCCCTCCCGGCCACTGGCCAGAGGACCCTATAAATACTGGGTGCAGCATTGCATAGCCATGGTAACTGCCTTTACCCCCAGCTGCAGCCTGACTCACCCTTGCAAGGCCCTGAGACCTGCCCGCTGCCCCCAGACCAGGCCCTTGTTAAGCATTCTCCCGAGGGTGGTGGGAGAGGGAAGGACACTCCCACCAACAGGCTCCCTCGCTCCGACAGGCATCTGACTGCAGGCCAGTCCCCTGGGATCTTGCCCCCGGCAGGACAAGCACACGTACACTCCTCTGTCCTCTGGGGACTCAGAGGAGAACGAGGTAGTGGAGAGGGGGACATCTGGTTTTTCTCAGTGGAGGGGGGTCTTGGATTCCCAGAAGGCATTCAGGACTCCATATACGGGACTGACACGGCAAGGACTGTCCCCAGCGGAGCAAATTCTCAACGTCTCTCAGGGCTGGCCTCTCCTCAGCAGTATCCATGTTCCCAAGACAGAGGAGTAGCTCTGAGCAGGAAGACGCTTCCTGCCTTAACCCCAATGTCCTGGCCTCCAACTGCTTTCCCCTGGGGAAGGGTGCCAGGGGCATTTGGGTGGCTCATCCAAGGGGCTGCCATGCCCTGTCATCTCCCGCCAAGTGGCCCAGCCTTTGCTGGATGAGGGGTGTAGTCTGAATTGTTTGTACCTGGCTCCCCATCTGCCCACTGCCAGGGGCCGAGAGCTGGAGGAGTGTTGCCCCATGTGCAGCCCACAGGCAGGGGTCAGTTACTACTGGAGAATCTACCCTCTGGTGGAGGAGAGGCCTTGTCTCCACTAGGCCCAGAATGGTCGTGTGCACAGAAGGACCGGCAGAACTGTGTGGAAGCTGAGATGGCTGGGAGAATCACGCTCCCTGCTCTTCCCTCAGCCCTGTCCAGCCTCAGATGAGAGAGGCAGGGTGAAGCCAAGAGGAGGCTTTGTGAGCATCCGGTACCATGCCCACACCATGACCTCGTGGATCATGTCAGGCCCTGTCACCTGCAGCTGGTGGGTCACCAGGACGATGGTCTTCCCCCGCAGAGTCTTCTTAATGCACTCCTCAAAGACATGCTTCCCCACGTGGGCGTCTACGGCCGACAGGGGGTCGTCCAGCAGGTAGATCTCATGGTTTGAGTAGACAGCTCTGGCCAGGCTGATCCTCTGCCTCTGCCCTCCGGAGAGGTTGAGGCCCCGCTCCCCGATCTGCAGATGGGGACAATGGTACCGCCCACCATCAGGCTCCACCCACCACCCTGAAGTTCTTGGAGAACAAAAACTTCCAGAAGCTTCTCAGGACTCAGGAGGGAGACATGCAGATCTGTCATCAGCATGCCCAAGCTCCTTCGCCCCTTCTGGGGACTCCTGACCACATCAGAAACTATGGTGGGAAGAAGAGCCTCACTTCTTCAGGAAGCCTGGCGGGCAGTGCCAACGAGGGAAAAGGCCTTATTCAGGTGGAGCAGGATGTCCCTGCCCCACCACACCCCTCACAATGCACCTCCCGTGTGGAGAGCTGCAGCGTGATCACTAACACCAAAGAGCACCATTGGAGCAGAAAGCTCTGGGAGAATGGATTAGCGAACAAGAGGGAGAAGGGGCTGACAGCAGACAGAGAGGGCTTTATATTTGCTTACTTGTGGATCAACTATCCCTCATCACTCCATTGCCATTGAGTCAATTCTGACTCACAGCGACCCTATAGGACAGGGTAGAACTGCCCCATAGGGTTGCCAAGGAGCGGCTGGTAGATTTGAACTGCTGGATTTTTGGTTAGCGGCCAAGCTCTTAACCACTGCGCCACTGGGTTCCATCCCCTGCTAGGCAATCATAAATTCTATGAAGACAGAAAACATGTCTGTCTTGTTCCTCACTCCACCCTATCCAACTGAATCCAAAGGGAGCACCCATTATGTTCAGCCAGGCATTGAGCTGGGCCCAGAGGGCAGGGTGCTTGAAGGTGAACGGGAAAAATCCCTGTGTCTGCTGGGAGTGCAGGTGTTGTGGGGAGACAGTTACACACGTAATAACAGCACAAAGCACATGGGAAGCATAAACCCAGTGCTCTGGGACTGATCACTCCAGACTGTAGGACTCGGGAAAGTCTCCCTCAAAAGGTGCCTTTGGAATTGGAACTTGAAGGGCCATAACAACAGCAGAAGCAGAGGCAGAGGGGCTGGAGGGTGAGTGGACCCTTGGGCTGGCTTGTAGAAATGCCGGGAGATAGGTGGGGGGCAGAAGGAAAACCGGGAAGAGCAGATCTGGGCCACAGTGGGGAGGCTTTGAGTGCCCGGCAAGGCTGTGCTGGCCTTTCCTTGCTCCCGGGGGTGGGGGCACTAGTGGAGAAAGAGTGTTCTCTGAGCTGGTCTTTCGTCAGAAAATTCTAGCTTTGTGATCTCCTCCGAGGCTCTGGGGAAAGGGGAAACAGGAAAATGGCAAGGTGACACCCCTGGGGCCAGCCCAGGCTCCCGAGGCAGGCTTTGGACTAGCACCCCAAGGGCAATATTTGGAGGTGCATTTACACTCCTGGCTGAGCAGAACCAGTGAGACAAGAAGGGGCACCTGAGACCCCAGCCACCATGCAGCAACCCTGGGTCCTGGTCTAGAGGTGAGGAAGCAGCTTTTACCAGGAACCTCTCCTGGGGTGACCAGGCAGCTCGCCATGGCCCCAGGAAATGGCCCCCCTGAACCAAACACAAGTGGGGGTCTCTGCCATGTCCACGTGATAGCCAGCAAGTTTAGACCCAGGTGGAGAAGTCAGGGTGGGCAGCGCCCTAACGTTCCCTACGTTTCCCGGGACCTCTCCGTTCTCCGGGGCAGCTGGATGTGAAGCGGGGGTCTGCTGAGCCTCGGCCCTGTGGGCCCTGTCAAACTGGCTGCCCTGAAGCTGAAGTGGGGTCAAGCTCCCAGCTCTGCTCACCTCTGTCAGGTCTCCATAAGGAAGGCTGCTCAGGTCCTTCTGGAGGCCACAGACGCGGACTGTTTGCTGATACCTGTGGGCACAGAGGTCAGAAGTCTGCACGGTGAGAAAGACCCCCCAACTATCACTTTGTACCAACTCTAGGGCCAGAGAACACAGTGGTTAAGAACAGGGGCTTTGGAATCAGAACAATCTGGGTGACAAGTACCTGCATCTCCGTGGCCCTCCCTCTCCACTCTGTGAATCGGGATAGTAACTCTATTGAGTTTTTGTGAGAATGAAGTGGGGAGATACATGGAAAGCCTTTAGCACAGTGTCTGCTGCATAGTGAATTCTCCATCAATGGCTGTTACTATTATTACTACCTTCGCCAATCTTCCAATTACCAGTCTGAGACTGCTCAGTGCTTCTCCCCCCCACCCCGGTGCCACCCCCAGCCTTAAGCCGCCTCCCACCCTCCTCCGTCCTGTGGCGCCGAGAGTCTCCATTTCCACCTTAGGAGTAAGACCTCTGCTATAAGGTGCCACATACGAAGGGGGCTGGACCCATCCTTCAGGCCCAATTACAATGCCACCCCCTGCAGGGACACTTTCTGCCCTGACGCCCCCACCGCCCTCTGGTGATCTCTGCTGCCTTGGACAGTCCCAGCCCAGGTTCCTGCCCCTGGCTTGTTCCTCCTCAGTGCACCGTCCATTCTGGGTCCTATCCATTGCTTTCCAGACTTGAGCACCTCGAGGGAAAAGATCCATCCAGCTATCCCCGTGTCCCCAGGTGCCTTGTGTGTTGCAGGCATTTGGTCAAGATTTGCTCTCTTGCATCCTAATTCATTAGTCAAAGAACTGCCCCCTCCCCTCCAGTCCGCTGCCCTGGAAAGAGAAGGCATCCCAGGTGCAGGTGGGAGATTGCTGTGGTCGTTACATGCCGCAGAGTCGGCTCCAACTCATAGCAGCCTTGAAACATTGCCCGACCCTGTGCCATCTTCATAATTGTTGCTATGTTTGTCATCGTTGCAGATACTGTGTCAGTTCATCTCACTGAGGGTCTTCCTCTTTTCTGCTGATCCTCTGCTTTACCAAGCATGACGCCCTTCTCTGGCGATTGGTCTCTCCTGATGACATATCCAAAGTAAGCCAGACTAAGTCTCACCATCCTTGCTTCCATGGAACATTCTGGTTGTTCTGCCTCTGGTTTGTTCCTTCTTCTGGTGGCACGGTCAAAGCAGGGCAGGAAATGCTGAGCAGAGCAGTCTGGCTGCTGCCAAGGACTCTGTCATGGGCTGAATCGTATCCCCCAAAACATGTGTCAACTCGGTTAGGCCATGATTCCCAATATTGTGTGGTTGTCCTCCATTTTGTGATCGATGTAATTTTCTTGTATGTTGTAAATCCTAATCTCTGCCTGTGGTTAATGAGGCAAGATTAGATTATGTTAAAGAGGACTAGGGTGGGATGTAACACCCTTACTCAGGTCACATCCCTGATCCAATATAAAGGGAGTTTCCCTGGAGTGTGGCCTGCATCACCTTTTATCTTACAAGAGACAATAGGAAAGGGAAGTGAGCAGAGAGTGGGGACCTCATACCAAGAAAGCAGTGCCAGGAGCAGACTGCGTCCTTTGGACCCAGAGTTCCTGCATGGAGAAGCTCCTAGACCAAGGGAAGATTGATGACAAGGACCTTCCTCCAGAGCTGACAAAGCCATCCACTTGTGCTATTTCTGTTGTAAGAGCACTAGATAACTAAGACAGACTCCTGCATTCACGAGCCCTTCCTGTCACACCTGAGCCTCCTGGCCACAGGATGTCAGGGCCAGAGAAGAGGACAAGAAGGGACAGACCTCTTGCCTGCTGGGAACCCACATGCTGGCTGAAGCCTGCCAGCAAAGGCAGAGTTTGTGGGTTCAGACAGTAAAGCATGAAAGTCTAAACCACCTGTTGGTGAATTGACAGCCAGGATTCTTAAGATCACCTGCGTTTCTCTTTCCTTCAGCATTGTGGTGCTTGGGGAGGTTTCAGGGGGGCCCAGCTGCCAGGCGGCTCCAGCAAATGAGAACAATGCTGAGCTGGAGTTCAAGATGTGCATCTAAGACTCTGTCATTTAATGGCTTGGACCTTGAGCAGGTCAACTCACCTCTCTGGGCCTCAGCCTCTGCATCTGTACAATGGAGATATGCTGCCAGGATCCCCTTAAACAGGTGGTTATGAGACTCAAATGAGAGAATGCACGTGGGAGCACATCAAACTTGGCGAAGAGTTATAAAGATGTATCCTGGGTGTGACTTTCCAGAACTTAAAGATAATGGACCAAAGTGTGCCAAGTAATGATGACTTGAACTTTGTTTTTATTTCATTAGATGATATTAAGGACACTAAGGGCAAAGCGTCCTGTAGCTCTGATGTCAATAAATAATGTCAGGGCCAATTAATCGCATCCTGCTGCTCACAATTTCAAGCAAAGTTTTGGTTACTCAGCCTAAAGCAAAGCTGCTGAGATCGTTTTTCGCCATCAGACAGTGCGTGTGCTGTTACAGAGAACCTGGTCACATATGCTACTCTGCACCAGGAACAAAGTGCCGATTCCATCGGCTTCTCAGTGTGTGATCATAGGTCTGCAGAAGATGCCCCTCCTGAACTCCTGGGTCAGAAAGAGAAAAAGCAACACCCATTTGGATCTGATGCATGTTTAATCAGAACTCATTAGAGAAACCCACTCAGCCATCATTAACAATGCATCAGCATCTGTAGCAGTGTACCCAATTCTAAAGTGCTCAGGCTTTCAGAGTTAATCTTACCTTTGATGATCATACTTTTCTCCAAATAATATGTTTTCTCTCACATTTCCATGGAAGATCCATGCCTGCTGGGAAACGTAGGCCAAAGTTCCATTGACTGCCACGACCCCTTCCTGTAACTGCATCTGGAAGCAACAACACCAGAAAACCTTCAGGAGCCAGGCCTCGTGGAGTTCTCCCTGGCCGTCCATTGCTCCCTCACCACCTACTAATTATGAAGGTGCAAGAGGTTGACAAGATGCCACATTGCAAAGCCCACGTGAGCAAACCGACGGTCTCGAAGTCAGACATCTGCAAGGGGCCAGGCAGAGGTGTAAATGAGGGCGGGAAACAGGGTGTGACAGAGAAGGAGCGGTGAGCTCTTCGCAAAGTGGCCAGCACAAGCCAGAACTGCTGCTGGAACACCAAGCACCTTGGGGCCAGCTAGAACAAGACGTTCCTCTGGGTGGACCCATCACAGCTTCCCCTTGTTCTCAGTGCGTTGACCTTTCTCAGCCAGGCCTGGGGGACAGGGGGCACAGCCTGCACAGCTGTGGCTGGAGGCCCTGGCATGCCCGCCATCGGGGAGCAGCCTCAACTCGTTGCATAGCTGATGCCGCGCAAGAAATGAGGCCCAATGTGGCCAGAGCTTCTCCTTTTTCAAGAGGAGCTGAAAATCTTGTTTTATGTGTATTTTTTTTTATTTTTTTTTTACTTTCAAAACATCAAGCAGCGCCATCAAAACACACGCATGGCCCGTATGAAGATCCCTGGGTGGTGACAATGGTTTGCGCTCAACTGCTAACCTCAAGGTAGGCGGTTTGAACCTACACAGCAGCACTGCTGAAGAAAGGCCTAGCGATCTGCTTCCATAAAGATTAAAGCCAAGAAAACCTATGGGACGGTTCTACTCTGTAACACATGGGGTCGCTGTAAGTCAGAACCAACTCGATGACAACAGGTTTTGGGTTTATGACCCCTGTGATCCAGCAACTCCACTCCTTGGTGCATATAGACCCAAGAGAATCCAAAGCAGGAATGCAAACACATACTTGTCCACCCATGCTCACTGCGGCGCCCTTCACAATAGCCAAAAGGCAGAAACAGCCTAAATGCCCGTCAGCAGATGAACGGGTAAATAAGATGTGGTTTATACACAGTGGTGTATTACTCAGCCATAAAGAGAAATGAAGTCCTGATACGGGCCGCAACGTGGATGAACCTCGAAAACATCACGCTGAGTGAAATAAGTCAGTCACGAAAGGACAAATACTTTATGATCCCACTTATGTGAAATCTCTAGAATAGGCAAGTGCATAGAGACCAAAGTATATTAGTGGTTACCAGGGCTGGGTGGGAAGGAAGACTCAGTGCTTAGGGGATGCTGAGCTTCTGTTAAGGCGGATGGAAAAATTCAGGAATGGTGATGGTTGAACAATGTGATGAATATATTTAGTATCACTGAACTGTACTTGTGAAGATAGTTGAAATGGCAAATGTTTTGTTACCGATACGTTTATCACATTATCAGGAGGGATCAGCCCCTGCAGAAGGACATCATGCTTGGTAAAGTAGAGGGTCAGTGAAAAAGAGGAAGACCCTCAACAACATGGACTGACACCGTGGCTGCAACAATGGGCTTAAGCATAACAATGATTGTGAAGATGGCGCGGGGCTGGGCAGGGTTTTGTTCTGTCGTACGTAGGGTCGCTATGAGTCGGAACCAACTCGATGGCACCTAACAACAGCAACACAGTTACCACAATAAAAAAACAGCATGCATGGGCTCCAATGTGTGAGTCTGAGTACAGAGATTAATGTAAGGTGGTCCCCACGGTGAGTATGTGATAGACAGTGGTAGACATTAGTGGTGATGCCACGTGCAACGCTACCAAGAGAGGGGTCGTGGGAGGCCGGCCGCGGCTCTCAGGGCCGCTGCTAGCTGGGCGGCAGCAGTGTGTCCGGGGCGGGGAGAAGGGCAGAGAAGTCAGTCAAGGGATGTGGTGCCATTTCACCCCAGGAGCCGTCCAAGGGACAGAGACTGTTAGACTTGGGGAAGAGACCATGATAATAACAATGTTGTTAGGTGTTGTTGAGTCAGTTCCGACTCATAGCATCCCCATAGGACAGAATAGAACTGTCCCATATGGTTTCCAAGGAGCGGCTGGAGGATTTGCACTGTCAACCATTTGGTTAACAGCCGAGCTCTTAACCACAATGCCACCAGCGCCCGATAATAACAATAATGGTAACAATATCAGTAATAGCTAAAATGCATAGGGCACATGCCAGGCACTCTGTCAAGTACATAGAAAGTGCTTATCACTGCGATTGGCACTGGGGATCATCCAATGACTAACTCTTGTCTCATTCAACCCTCACCACAACCCTCCTTAACTTCACTTTACAGATGAGGAAGCCAAGGCTCAGACGGTTAAGTTATTTATCGAAGGCTGAACAGTGAGCACATGGCTGAGACAGGTGGCGAGCCTAGGCAGTCCGGAGCCCACTTGCTTCACCACCAGGCCACCCCGCCTCCCAGTGATGGTAAGGGGCTTGATCACACCCCTGTTCCTTAGGAGACGGATTCGATTTTCTCTGATAAGTTCCAAGGGAGCAGATCACAAGGTAGAGGCTAAAAGGAAGCAGATTTTACTCCAATACACATCAAAACTCTCCAACAAGGGAACCGGCTGTAAAATAATGAATTCCCCATCACTGGAGGTATCTGAGCAGAGGTTGGGCAATGTCTTATATGGGATGCTGTTGAGAAGATACATATTAGGGGGAGAATTGGCCTGGGCCACCGTAACATGCCTGCCTACTCGAAGGTTGTCATAGAGCCAGACACACCCAGTCCCTCAGAAGCTCATCTGATTCAACCCCAGGCAGGGAAGGCAGATGACTCAACCAAGGCCAAAAGAAGTCATCCATATTGGAGCTCATGAGACATGCCCACCACATAGCCTGGTGGGGCCTTCCTGAGTCTGGTGTCCCTCGTGTCTTCAGAGGCACCCAACCTCTCCCTGTTACAGGCAAAGGCAATCCCAGCTACCCAGACTTTGCTTTAGGAACGACAGAGTGGGGAGGAAGAGGATTTAATTTTTTTCCCAGAGAATTTCTCATTCATTTGGAATGCAAGGTAGAAACCGTTGCAACTTAGAGGCCCATGAGTATAGCATATGATTTGGCCATTTCCCCAGGGTCACACGCTGGAAGCAGTAGAGAAGGGGCTGGAAGCCAGGGCTCCTCCCTCTTCCTACCACAAGTTTGGCAGAGAAGTTGGGGGCACGTTGCTGCTTTCTTTCATGCATTCATTCATCAAGGCAGGCTTCGTTGAGCTTCTGCTCTGGGCAGACACTGGACCAGGTACTGGGGATATGGAGATGTGGAGATGAACGAGGCAAAAACACATCTAAAGTCATCCTGAGTCTCAGGCTCCTGGTCCTTCCCCACCACGCTGCTTGCTGGCCTTTCTAAACTGGGATAGCCCTATCCATGGGGAGAACCATGGATTTAATGACCAGACTCTTCCTTTGACCAAGATGGAGCTCCAGGCAAGGAAGTTGTCACCCTTTAACACACATGCTGGGGAGGCCAACTCCAGAGTGTGAAAAGCTCAGTCTCCATCTGGCTGAGGGGCGTGGAGCTGCCAAGAGCATTAGCCTTCTGGAAATCACCATCAACTGTGTGCACAGTGTCCCGTGCAGCTGAGCCCATCTGCTGTGTATTCCAATGCGGCCCCAAACATGGCAGGAGGGAAGGCATTTCATTACCATGTCAATGTTCCATCTTCACAGCTCTTGGGCCCCAGGGTGATGCAAATGGTTACCCCCTTGGCTCCCAATCAAAAGGTTGGGGGCTCGAGTCCACCCAGATGTGCCTTGGAAGAAAGGACTGAATCAGCCACTGCAACCCCTGCGGAGCAGAATTCTCTGACACACACGGGGTCGCCATGAGTCGGACTCAACTTGATGGCAATTGGCTTGGTTTGCTTGTTTGCTCATTTCTTTCCCCACAGCACTCACCACGCGGCTTACCTGTCCTAGGAGAGCTGCAATGAGGGAGCTCTTTCCGCTTCCGACATTCCCGCATATTCCCAAGACCTTCCCCTACCGGAGGAAGAGACAAAGCACCGGTCACTCTGCCAGTTCTTAGAGGGCCTGGGGCCAGAGGCGTCTCCCCCAAACTGCCCTGGTTGGGCCAGGTAGGGACCAAGGGGTCACTGCCGGCTCTATGAAGTGGTGGCCGCAGCCTCACAGCCCCAGCCCCGATACGCACAGCCTGGGAGGATGCAGGGACGTTAGTCTTAATTAACCACCTTCCCTTGCGTGGTGCAGCAGAGCACCCGAGGGCTTCTGAAATCACGTGCAAACACTGATGTGAAGCAGCTTGTGCTGAGCTGGGAGATACAAGCCTTGAACGTGGAGGCTGCCCTGTGCCCAGGCTCCAGGAAAGCAAATCTAATTGAAGGCACGAGGCTGAACGGCCCAGGGGGGACAAGGACAGCCTTGGAAGCATGGCTGTTTTTCCAAAAGTCATTCTTTACGTACTCCTCCAGCACAATAACTCAGTCTGAAACTACCAGGCGGTTAAGCCATTGCAACACGCCGGGTGTATGAATTACTCCAAGGTTGCAGATTTATTATTCCAATCAACAAATTGTTATCAGAGGCTGCTACGTGCCAGGCACTGTTCTGGGCACCAGGACGCAGCAATGAACACAACAGATCAGAGCCCGGGTCTGCCCTCACAGGGCTTACATTTAAGTTGGGGGATATGGACGGCAAGGAAGATAATAAGTCAAATCTGGAGTGTGTCAGCTGTGTGCCAGGGGAAAAATCAGGCAAGGAGAGCAGAGGAAGAGGGCAAAGGGACGGAGGAGGCCTTGCTGAAAAGTTAGATGTCTTAGCTTGAGCGTTCCCAGAAGCAGACCCTTAAACAAGGGTTTGAGTGGAGGTAGCGTATTCGGGAGGTGCAGGAAATACAGGCCACTGGCCCGCTAGGGGTGTACTGCCTGCTCAGCCACCGCGGGGACAAATGGAGCCCAGTCCTGCAGGGCAACGTGAAGAAACTCTGGGAAACTGGGTGCGGTTTATCTCACCCAGTGGCTGAGGGACGGGGTATAAATACCCCAAGAGTCACTGTCTGGGATCTGCTCCCCAGGCTGACATCCTCCCGGCACTCTGCAGGCGGTGGGGAGAGCCCTCAGGCACACGGGCAAATCTGCAGTTGAAGGTGCCGGGGCACACAGAAAGGTCCCGGGCACACGACAGACCACGGACAGCATCTGCAACAGGTGATGGCTGGGTCAGGCCTGGAGGAGGTGAGGGAGTGAGCCGTGTAGTTACCTGGGGGGAACCCCTGCAGCCGGAAACAGCCCACGGGGAGGTCTGGAGGTGGAGGTGAGCCCACAGGTATGTTCAAGCAGATACTGAAGTCTACAGTTGAAACTTCTAAGAACATTCTCTTTCAGACCTGCTCCTCAACACTGGGCCAAATATAGGCCCTTTCCTGCCTCGAGCTAGGCCAGGAGGACCCAGCACCTGCTGCCACCCCCAACACGTGAGGGTCACTGTCGGTCATCAGGAATTCTCTTGGCAAGGCTCTTTCTGAAGGCGGGCACCATGCTAGGCACTGGGATAAAAGAGTGATTGCGACAGACACATGGCCCACATAGCCATTGAAGCCGCATGTAAGTGAAGCTGTTCCATTTTAATTCCATTCAGAGGACGTCCAGGAACTAGGCATTATGGAGACAGTCGGACAAAGAGACCACAGGTATGAATCCTGCCTTGCTAGGTACTTGGTTCTCCTTTAAGTCCTTCCACTCCCTGGAGCCAGGTCTGAGCCTTCCCGATTTATCCTTATCTTCAGCAAAACACCCATGATACCTTCACGCCATGGGTCTCTGATCATTTGTTCACTCAGCAGACATGATTGGGAACTGACTGTGTACCGTGCCCTGGGTTCGGTGCACAACTGTGAATGAGGCAAATACACACCCTACAATCTAATGGGACCGTGGAGAAAAGTTTGGAAAACTTGGAGGCCCTGAATTTAGGACATTTAAGGGCAGGACTAAAGCTGGGTGCACTTGTTGAAGGAAAAAGACAACAATAACAGCCAACATCAGTTAAGACTTACTATGGCCTTAGCATTTTTATATGCTATCATTTTTAGTTCTCACAACCATATTGGGAAGTGGTACTATTATTAGCACATCTATGGAGCAGATAAAGAAACCAAGGCTCCATGTGGCTAGACAATAAGCCCAAGGTCACACAGCTAGCAAGCTGGGAGTGGAATCCAGATCCACCAGGCTCCAGAGGCATGCTCTTAACCCACACGACACTGCATGGCCCCTACTACGTCTTCAACGTATTTCACACATGTTGACCATGCCCTGGATGATCCAGGAGTTACCACCTTAATGAAGGCTGCATTAGGAGGAAAGCAATTGGAGGCCTAAAAGGCAGCTTCTTTAGAATGTGAGAACAGCTCATGAGGCCTCTCTGGCCGAAGGCAGGGGTGGGTGATGAGATGGCCAAGAGAACTGTCCTCAGCAGGACTTAACTTAGAAGGGAGCACAGTTGCACTGGGATGACTGAAGGTGATTTCCAACGGGTACGAGGCAGACAGCCTCATTAGCTCCAAGAGGTACTGCTTTCACACCAGCTATTGAGTTTAACATTGCATAATAAATAAGAACCTCTCCTTCTATGGTGCCCACATGGGGAAAGGGTGAGTCAACAAGATAGCATATTAAAATACTAGGCGCAAGATTAATGCTGAGCCCTCTGCAACAGAATCAACATTGCTACCCTGGGAGTGCTGCTGCTGAGCTCCCAGTGCAAGGAAACACGTGCAGGGGAAGGCCAAGTGTGTCCTGAGTTCATAGCTTTGTCTAAAGACTTCATCCGCCAAGCCCGCAGGAAAAGAGTGGCCGACAGACTCTGGCAGGCTTCCCGGCCGGGTTGTTTGTTGACACCACTTTGGTTTTTACAAGAGCAGTATTGCATGGTGGTTAGGGGCACAGACTCTGAAGCCAGGTGTCCTGGGTGTGGAGCCCTCCTCTGCCACTTGCTAGCTATGTGACCTCGGGCAAGTTATTTAACCTCCTTGTCCTGAGGTTGTCTCAATCATGAAGGGCGGGTAGTTATACTACCTACCTCATGGGGTTGTTGAGGTGGTTGAATGTATTAATTGTGATTACGCACCTGATAAATAATAAGTGCTCATAATTGTCAGTTATTGTTATTTATCATGGAGTCCCTGGGTGTTACAAACCGTTAATGCACTGGGCTGCTAACTGAAAGGTTGGAAGTTTGAGTCCACCAAGAGGCACTTCAGAAGAAAGGTCTGATGAACTATTCCTGAAAAACCAGTCATTGAAAACCTTATGGAATCAATGAAGTAAAGAGACAACCTATGTATTGGGAGAAATTTTTCAGGAGCCATTTATCTAATATGGGTCTAATACCCAATCCAGTATACAGACACACAACACACACACACACACGCACTAACATATATATATAAACATATGTTGTCATGTGCCATGGAGTCAATTCTGACTCATAGCAACCCTATAGGACAGAGTAGAGCTGCCCCATAGCCTCTCCAAGGAGCGGCTGGTGGATTTGAACTGCGACCTTTTGGTTAGCAACCTGAGCTCTTAACCACTGTGCGCCCAGGGCTCCATATAAACATATATATATATATGTACGTTTTACAACTTAACAACAAAAGACGAACAACCCAATCAAAAAATGGGCAAAGACTCGAACAGACATTTCACCAAAGAGCATATTAGCCTGGCCAATAAGCACATAAAACGATGCTCAATGTCACTACCTATTTGTTGTTGTTGTTATGGACCGTCGAGTCAATTCTGACTCATGATGACCTTATACGACAGAGTGGAACTACCGTATAGGGCTTCCTAAACTATGTTGAGGAATTTCCCTTCCATTCCTATTTTGCTGAGAGTTTTTATCAGGAAAGGGTGTTGGATTTTGTCAAATGCCTTTTCTGCATCGATTGAGATGATCATGTGAAGCTGTCAACTTGGCTAGGTCATGATTCCCAGTATTGTATGATTGTCTACCATTTGGTCTACTATGTGATTTTCCTATGTGTTGTAAATCCTATCACTATGATGTCATAAGATGGATTAGTGGCAGTTATATTGATGAGATCTACAAGATTAGATAGTGTCTTAAGCCAGTCTCTTTTGAGATATAAAAGACAGAAGTGAGCAGAGAGACCTGGGGACCTCATACCACCAAGAAAGCAGTGCTGGGAGCAGAGCGCGTCCTCTGGACCTGAGGTTCCTGGGCTGAGATGCTCCCAGACCAAGGGAAGACTGATGCATCACAGGGACCTTTCTTCAGAGATGACAGAGAGAGGAAGACTTTCCCTGGAGCCTGCACCTTGTCGGACTTGTAGCCTACTGGACTGTGAGAATAAACTTCTCTTTGTTAAAGCCATCCACTTGTGGCATTTCTGTTATAGTAGCACTAGATGACTAAGACAGTCCTTAAGATGACATCTTTGCTTTTCCACACTTTAAAGGGGTCTTTTGCAGCAGATTTGCCCAATGCAATATGTCGTTTGATTTCTTGACTGCTGCTTCCAGGCGTTAATTGTAGATCCAAGTAAAATGAAATCCTTGACAACTTCAGTATTTTCTCTGTTAATCATGATGTTGCTTATTGGTCCAGTTGTGAGGATTTGTGTCTTCTTTATGCTGAAATGTAATCTATCCTGAAGGCCATAGTCTTTGATCTTCATTAGTAAGTGCTTCAAGTTCTCTTCGCTTTCAGCAAGCAAGTTTGTGTCATCTGCATAACGCAGGTTGTTAATGAGTCTTCCTCCAATCCTAATGCTTCGTTCCTCATACAGTCCACTTTCTCGTATTATTTGCCCAGCAAACAGATTGAGTAAGTATGGTGAAAGGACACAACTCTGATGCACACCTTTCCTGACTTTAAACCACACAGTATCCCCTTATTCTGTTGAACGACTGCCTTTTGGTCTATGTACAGGTTCTGCAAAAGCTCAGTTAAGTGTTCTGGAATTCCCATACTTTGCAACGTTACCCATAATTTGTTATGATCCAGACAGCGGGATACCTTTGCTTAGTCAATAAAACACAGGTAAACAACTTTCTGGTATTCCCTGCTTTCAGCCAAGATCCAGCTGACATCAGCAATGATCTCCCTCATTCCACATCCTCTTCTGAATCTGGCTTGAATTTCTGGCAGTTCCCTGTTGATGTACTGCTGCAACCACTTTTGAATGATTTTCAGCAAAATTTTACTTTTGTCTGATATTAATGATATTGTTTGATAATTTCCACATTTGGTTGGATCAGCTTTCTTTGGAATAGGCATAAATGTGGATGTCTTCCAGTTGGTTGGCCAGGTAGTTGTCCTCCAAATTTCTTGGCATAGACGAGTGAGCACTTCCAGCACTGCATCCGTTTGTTGAAACATCTCAGTTGGTATTCCGTCAATTCCTGGAGCCTTGTTTTTTGCCAATGCCTTCAGTGCAGCTTGGACTTCTTCCTTAAGTACCACCAGTTCTTGATCATATGCTGCCTCTGAAATAGTTGAACATCAACCAATTCTTTTTAGTATAGTGGCTCTATGTATTCCTTCCATCTTCCTTTGATGCTTCCTGCATCGTTCAATCTTTTGCCCATAGAATTCTTCAAAATTGGAACTTGAGGTTTGAATTTTTTCTTCCATTCTTTTAGCTTGAGAAATGCTGAGCACGTTCTTCCCTTTTGGTTTTCTAACTCCAGGTGTTTGCACATGTCATTATGGTACTCTACTTTGTCTTTTCGAGCCATCCTTTGAAATCTTCTGTTCAGGTCTTTTACTTCATCTTTTCGTCCATTCACTTCAGTTGCTCTACGTTCGAGAACAAGTTTCAAAGTCTCTTCTGACATCCATTTTGGTCTTTTCTTTCTTTCTTATCTTTTTAATGACTTTTTGTCTTCTTCATGTATGATGTCCTTGATGTCATCCCACAACTCGTCTGGTGTTCAGTCATTAGTATTCCATGCATCAGATCTATTCTTGAGATGGTCCCTAAATTTGGGTGGGATCCTGATTACCAAGGGGAAATCGTATTGATTTTACATAATGGAGGTAAAGAAGAGTACGTCTGGAATGCAGGAGATCCCTTAGGGTGTCTCTTAGTACTACCATGCCCTGTGATTAAAGTCAGTGGAAAACTAGAGCAACCCAATTCTGACATGACTATTAATGGCCCAGACATTTCAGGAATGAACGTTTGGTTCACCCAATCAGGCAAAGAACCACGACCAGCTGAGGTGCTTGCTGAGGGCAAAGGAAATACAGAATAGGTGGTGGAAGAAGGTAGTTTTAAATACCAGTTTCAACCACGTGACCAGTTGCAGAAACAAGGGCTGTAATTGTTATGAGTATTCCTTCTTTGTATGTGTGCATCAAATATTTTTGTTTTCTTCACTTATAAAATATAAGATGTAAACGGATCTAGAGCACTTTGGTTGTACACATGTTAGTTGTATCATGTTATGGGCAAATATGACTTTGTAATTGTCTTTATTTAGAGATTGTATATGGTTTAAGGAGATGTGCACAGCTGCCAAGCTGACAAAAGCTGGACTGTGATGGTTAAGGTTGTGTGCCAACCTGGCTGGGCCATGATTCTCAGCGATGTGGCAGTTTGTAATGATATAGTGCGGTAGTTATGTAATGATGTAGTTTGGCAATTATGTAATTTGGCAGTTACGTAATGATGTACTTATTCTCCATTTTGTGATATAATGTAATCATCTCCATGATGTGATCTAATGTGATCAGCAAATTATCTATACACACATACACCTTTCACTGATTTTGCTTCTCTAGAGAACCCAGCCTAACACAGGGATTCACTGCATGTGCAGATGGCCTGAAGGAAAAATTTGGGTGCAGGGTGTGTGATGTTGCAGCCAGGTGGAATTCAGATGAGGGCACTAGGATCTCTTGCTCATCCTTTGGCAGAGGTGTAGCTGGCACCTGTCAAGATGTGACTGGCATTGCTGGTGAGGTGATGTGTTTGTCCTGCAGTCATCTGGGCATGGGTACAGGGAGCATTTTGCTGATCACTGGGTTGGGTGCTGTGTGTGCAAACTGCTGGTTGCTGGGTTATATGGGGGAGGGTGCACCGGTCACTGGTTGGGTGGCACAGGAACTCACACCACCAGTCATCGAGTGGGCAGGGTGGCACAGGGAAGGTTATAGCATGCATCAGGATTGCTGGCAGGCATGGCTGCAGGAGGACTGGTAGGGGCAGTTGTGAGCCTCTGGTCAAAGGATCACTTGTGTTGTGGATCACAGGGTAGGGGGTTAAGGGAGAGCTCACCACTGGTCATGGGTGGAGGGGAGGAGATGAGGGAAAGCATGTTCCCTCAGTCTCTGGCATGGGCACTGGGACACTCCTTGCAGAGTGCATCTGGTGATCAGGACCCAGCCTTGACCAAATTGGGCGGGGGGGCTGTCCAGAGTCTAGTCAGGTGGAGGATCTCTGGCCCCCATGCCAAAGATCTGCCACTCTGCAGGTGCTACCCACCCAAATGATCAGGGACTGCCACTGGTGAGTAGTTCTGTCTTTATTTTCTGGCACCCTCCCTGCTCTATGGTCACCTGGATCCCTAGGGCTCTTGCCTGCCTTCCTGCACTTTGCCTCCTCAGATCCATTTCATGTTCTGCTCACCTTGCTTCTCTCAGGTTTGTCTACACAGTATCTCTCTCTTCTTTTGGGGTTTCTGTGACGTTTCCTTCCTGTACTCCTCACCCAGGAATGCTGCTCACTTTGTCTCAAGATGGCCATGCTGTGCTGGATTGGCTGGTCGGAAGCCTACAGTCTTCTTGTTGGCTATTTTCATTCAGTTTCACCTTTCCTGCAGTGTTCAATCTAATTCTTCAACCTTCTGTTTGCTGTTCTGAGTGTCCAGATTGTCATCTGTATCTGTTTCATTTGGTTTCTAGGATTCTTGTTGCAGTAAGATGATAAGATGTGTGGACTAAGCTACCATCTTGAACTATCTCTCCTAGGCTGTAATCTTTACAGGAGCAGATCACCAGGTCTTTTCTCTCACGGAATTGCTGGTGGGTTTGAACTGCAAACCTTTTGGTTAACAGCTGAGCCCTTAGCCATTGTGCCACCAGGGCAAAACAAAGCTACAATGAGATACCACCACATCTCTATTAGAATGTCAATGATTAAAAAAAAAACTGAAAACAACAGATGTTGATGAGGTTATGGAGAAATTGGAACTTTCTTCCACTGCTGGTGGGAAAATAAAATGGTACAGACATTGTGGAAAACAGTTTGGCAGTTTCTCAAATAGTTGAACATAGAACTACCACTACCACATGACCCAGCAATCCCAAACCTAGGTAGAAATGCAAACAGACACTTTTACACCAGTGTTCACTGCAGCACTTTTCACAAAGTCAAAAAGTGGAAACAACCAAAATGTCCATCAATAGATAAATGGATAAACAAAATGTGGTACATACACACAATGAAACATTACTCAGTCATAAAGAGAAATGAAGTTCCGGTGCATGTCACACCATGAATGAACCTTGAAAATATCATGCTGAGTGAAATAAGTCAGTTGCAAAAGGACAAAGATTGTATGCGCTCACTTCTATGAAATAAGCATATATACAGAAACCAAAGACTATTAGCAGTTATCAGGGTGGGAGGGAGGGGAAAGGGGAAGCGTAGCTATGCAATTTGAAGAATGTAATCAGTGTTACTGAATTGTACATGTAGAAATTGTTGAGATGGTCTATATTTTGTTATGTATATTTTCACCACAATACAATAAAATAAAATAAAAAAACCTCTGTGGAACACAGTTCTACTCTGATACACGTGGGGTCGTCATGAGTTGGAATTAACTTGGCAGCAACTTTATTATTTATCATGATACTCCAACGTGAAATTAAGAACAAATCTGAAAAATTTTATGAAAGCTAGTTGGTTTGAGTCTAGCCACCTGTCATAAATTGTCCATTCAGTATTGCAGCTGGCTCCATCATCTTCCCTCAGCTTGAAGAGGATACCTCCAATGTTCACTTACATAGTTTTAAAATTTGGGGAGAAAAACAGAGCCTGGTTAGGGACATCCCACCACCCACCATCTCCAACTCCAACTCAATTATATTAAGCCTTGAGAAGGCCATAGCTGTGTGAGACAAGGAGGAAGAATAGAATACACACCCACCTTTCTCACTGCAAAGCTTATATTGTGCAGAACCCATTTGTGGCTGCCACTTTGCTCTTCTGGGCCAGCGACTCCCTGGGCTGGTAAACTCAACTCACTGTATGCCTCTGGCCTATGCTTCTTGAGAGAATCGCTTTTCTGGTTCTGCACTTTCTTTAGGTTACTTTTCTTGCCGGTTTCTTGCTCCCATGTCAAGGTGGCATTTGCTAAAAGCAAGACAGTATCTGTGTCTTCTGGTTGGGTGATGTAAGATGGGGGGCTTTTATTTATGAGAATTTTCTAAGATTAAAGAGACAAAATTAACTGTGCAGACGTCATCCATTTGTAAGAATCATCTCAATGTATCTTTTAATGACCCATAATCACAATCTTGGCAAGTCTACATATGACATTCAGGAAAGAGACTCCGAAGGTACTCCCCCAGGAGAAGCAGCCGCAGATAATCCACTAGGTCATACTATCTAGGACGTATGCCTCTTTATCCACAAGGCCTATGTGGGTGGTCCACATTGGAGAATGTTGATCCCAACTACATTTCACCCTTCTACACAAGGTGGTTGGCCTTTGCTGGTCTTTGGGTGGTGAGGTTCACTGCTTGGCACTAATGCTTATGAAACTGAGATAATTTACTGAGTCTCTACTATATTCTCTTCTTAGGTTCCGACTCAGCTCAGTTCAACAAAACATTTGCCAAATGCCTACTATGTGCCAGACACTGGGATACATAGCAGAAATGCAAATATAAATACAGCATGTTTCCTGTCTTTGAAGAGATTACAGTCTAGGGGGAGACGGGAACATGCACAGATCATTTCAGTGAAGTGTGACCAATACAAAGCCCTGTAACTGTCAGAGAGGGGACCTGTGGATCCCCATCCTGAGACCCAAGAGCTGAGTCTGAGAGGTGAGTAGGTGCTACACAGACAAAGATGAGAGAAGGGAGAGAGGATGACAGCATTCCAGTGGAGGAGGGCACAGCATGAGCAAAGGCTAGGAAGCATGCAATAGTATGATTTTCTGGGGGTGGGGACATGAAATAAGCAATTCAGGACCACTGAGGCACAGAACTCAAGGTAGGAAGGGCATAGGAAATGAGATGGAGACATAACTGAGGGATCGGATGAGGGCTCAGTCTCAATCCTGGAGTGGGCAAGGAAACTTTCAAGGATTTCAACTGGGTGAGTATTGGTGGTCAAACCAATATTTTAACAGCTCTCGGGAGGCTAATAAAATATGAATTTGAGGATGACAACACTAAAAGAAAAAAGAGGATGGACTCAGAAGTCTGTGATCATTCAGATGAGAGATGGTGAAGCCTTGAATGAAGATGATTACAATAGGGATAGAGTATGAGGATTCAAGAAATACCACTGTTCCTCTAGTCTAAGAAACACCTGTAATTTTTTTTCTGAGATCATACTATGTAAATTAATTTTATGGCATTGATTTTTGTTTTTTGTGTTTTGTCCAAAAAGTAATAACAGTGTAACTTCCAATCCAGTCTTACAATGGTGCTTCTTAAAATGGAAGGAATATAGTGACCAGGATGTGACTCAGCAGGGCTCTTGGTTGGTTAGACATGGATGGCAAGTGAGAAGAGGGATACAGGAACCTAGGATGCTGAAGATGACTTCCAGATTTCTGGATTGGGTGAATAAGATCATCCAGTCAATTCATAGATGTCTAAACATGCTGTTCCCTCGACTGGAAGTTCCTTTTCTTTTTCCATTCCTTGTCTGAACTTAAAAAGCACTTTATCTATCCTTACTGCATGTCACTTACATCCTTACCTTGTATAGCAATTACTGGGGTTCATGATCCTATACTAGATTGGAGGCTCTTGAGGGTAAATTCTGTCTCTTCCTTATATTTGCATTTCCCGCAGTGTCTTGCACATAGAAGGCATATAGTAAATCTTTGATGAATGAGTAAATGAGTGAATAAAGTGACTAAATGAGTGTACAAATGTGGTGCCCTCACCACCCCTTTATGTCTTCCATCATCACACCCATCACAGGAGAAACTAGATTAAAGGGGGATGGCTCGGTGTAAACTCAACCCCACTCCTGGAACTACTTAAGATTTATGGCTTGGATAAAGAGTAGAGGGTCTGGAGCACCATCTCCATGTACAGAGACTCTATCTCATTTTTACTAAAAAGGCAGACAACCTGTAAAATTCCATCTATACCCTCCATGCACATCTATCAATGGTCCAACTCTGAATGGAGGCCCTTTGCCCAATGCCCAGCCGACCAGTGAACCAGCCCTCAAATGCATTGACCCAGCTTCCCCATATGTGAGAATTCCCCACCCAGAAATGCGATCTCTCTTCCCTACTCACCCAGTGTTTGTTATACCTTCATTCTCTTCAGAGAGACATTGGCTTCGGCCACTGCTTTGACCGAGAAAGGCAAGATTGCAATGGAAAACTTCATTACATTAAACATGGCAATCACACTAAATGCCTGAAGAACAAAAGAAATGTAGAAGCGTTCAGGATGAGGTGTTGCCTTGGCTCTGAGCCATTAAATCCATGGAGATTAAACTTACTGAAGTGAGAAACAGTGGCTCAGGTGGAATTCTCAGAGGAAACTTTTTTTCTTTTCATGGCTCAGAGAAAAAATAAGATTAGTAGCATCTTAATCTCTTTTGCTTTTGAATCTTCACCAAAATGGTGGGAAATATATCCCCTTGTCTGTACTGATCTAGAGAAGAGAAGGTTTGAGGCAAGCCTCTAACTGAATGCATTTGGAAATCATCCATACAACATCCTAACTAGGTCTAGACCATTCACTCAAAATCCTATGCATGTGACCAACTACCTCCTTTGCCAAGAGACCAGAAAAACTGGGTGGTGCCTGGCTACCAGCACCAACTATTTTGATCAACGATTCGACAAAAGAATCCTGATCAAAAGGGGAGAGGAATGTGGACCATAATTTCAAAGTCCCTTGGAATCCAGACTTTCTAGAACCTTTGAGGCTGGATGAACCCCCCTGATATAACCTTCAAACTTTAAACCAAAAAAATTCCCTGAAGTCTTTATTTTTTTTCCTTCATTAAAAAAAAAAAAAATAATTGTGCATTAGGTGAAAGTTTACAGAACACACTAGTTTCCCATTCGATAGTTTGTACATAAAGTGTCCCATGACATTGGTTTCATTCCCCACAATTTGTCAGCACTCTCTCCATCTCCATCCAGGGTTCTCTGTTTTCTTTAGTCCTGATTTTCTACCCCTTTCTGCCTTCTCATCTCTGCTTTTGAGCAAATGTCACCCTTTTCATCTTCTATAATTGATTGTTCTAAGAAGTATGTTACTCTCGGGTATTATTGTTTATTTTATGGTTTGGCTGAAAGGGGGTCTCTGGGAATGGCTTCAGCTCCAGTTCAGAAGGGTGTCTTAGCACCATAGTTTCAGGGTTTCCTCCAGTCTCTGTCAGACCAGTAAGTCTGTCTTTTTTGTGAATTTGATTTTTTTGTTCTACAATTTTTATCCCACTCTGTCTGGGACCCTCTGTTGTGATCCAAACTTTTCTTTAAACCAAGCAACAGTTTAGCTTGATTAGTAAAGAAGGTCTGCTTAGAGCATTGTGCACTTTTACCAAGCTATCTATATGGCATCAAATTAACAACAGCAATTCGAAAGGTTAGATATGAAGCTTAGGGGGCAGTGAGTTTATGTTAATGTGGAAGGAACAACTCAGAAAGGAGGGTGAGAATGGTTGCACAACTTGAAGAATGTAAATCAATATTGCTGAATAATTGTATATGCAGAAATTTTTGAATTGGTGTATGTTCTGCTGTGCATATTTTCAATAACAACAAAAATTAAAATAAATAATTTTAAAGAGCGAAGTCCTGTGCACAGTTTCCTAAATCATCCCATTCTCATGGTTGCTTCAGAGGCATCTGACCCTGTGAAGCTAGAACATACCTTTCTAACCACATACAGCCTCAAAGATGAAGACAGAACCTCCTAGAAAGACCTCCTTGGTCCATGCTGGCTCTTGGAGAATGACTTCTGCCTCTCCCTCCCAGGGCCTGGCCTCCCCACACACCAGGGTTCATGGGAGCCTTCCTTACAGAGCCCTGCATGGTGGGTAGTTATTACCTAGAATGAAGTCAAGTTTCCTCGCTTTCACTTGTGCTCCAAGGGTGCATGATCTCATGCCTCAGATCTCATCTCATCTGTCCAACTTGTAATTAGCAGCCTCTCCCTAGCCACCCATTTAAGAAATTAAAAACACCATTGCCTTCAACAACTTCTGAGTGATCCTGCCTGCTGTTGAATGGGCCCAGGGACAGGGGCTCAGGCTTCCAATAATCCTAGTAACTTCATTAAGAGCAAGAGAAACGATGCTCCCATCACATCTGGTCTGACACACATCCCAAAGAGAACTCATCTCCCTCAGGTCCCAAGGACCCACCTTGGCCCTGGAAGTCCAGCCTGGGTTGACAGGGCACCTGGGCAGCCGTAAGATGCCTGATGTGACCAAGCACCTCGGGACTGACCTCCTGCTGCTGTGGCTCTGGGCATGCTAGGGATTCTGAACCCAAAGAAACATAAGCTGTGTATTCAGGAAGTTTGTTTTTGGTCTAGATTTTTTCTGAATCCATTGTTTTAAAATATATTAACTATATGTGCTCAATTTGGTTTCAAATGGATGTGCCTGTTATACTGTTGGACAGATTTTTGTTTGCTTGCTCATTTGGGATTGTAGTAAACAGTCACAATAATTGGGTAGCTTCCATTTAGACTTTCGTGCATTGCTGCCATTCTTTCTGGCTTTGGGTTCATGTCCCAGTTCAACCTAAGAATGCGTGAGCTATTACCTGTGAAGAACTTGTGAAAATATGAGCTCCTCACAAAGAAACACAGGGCAGGAAAGGAATTAACAGTCTCACAAAAGATGCCCCAGCAAGAGCATCCTGGCTTCTCAAAGTTCATCCTTCCCTTCCCCTCGAGGCTCCTGACCTCTGGTGCAGTTGTTCCAGTACAAGTACGCCTAGACTTGCCTACTCTTCTTCTGTTGCATTTATTGACTTTTACTTGTCCAGTCCTGCCCTTCAGACACTTGGTTTAATATCTCAGGTATTGTTTCTTTCTTTAAGCCAGGGGCCAATTTTCCTCTAGCTCAGCATTTCTTTACCTTTGAACGCTCAGGCCCTCTTTGCAAGAAACCTCACATCTCACACTCATACCAATTCTCTCTCCAAACCTGCCAACCTGCTTTTGTCTGACCTTGGTGAGGATCAGGCAAATAATAACAGCAAAGACTGTTACAGTACTTAGTACCAACACGGTTCTATGTGCTCTGCATAAAATACCTCACTCTTTTCTCACAAATTCGCCGATTATTATCATCATCCCCATTCTACAGATAATAAATCCAAGGCAAGAAAGTCCAATCATTCACAATAAGTCATAGCTACTAAGTAGCAGAGCAGGATTTAAACAAGGCAGTCCTGGCTCCCAAGCCCACATCACCACACTTCCTCTCCTAGTACCTACAACACAACCCACTAAAAGAATTTTCTCAAACTCTCCTTCCCGTGTTGTTGGTGTATGCTGTCGAGTCAGTTTCAACTCATAGCAACCCCATGCAGCAGAGTAGAACTGCCCCGTAGGGTTTCCTAGGCTGTAATCTTTACAGGAACAGATCACCAGGTCTTTCTCCCATGGAGCTGCTGGGTGGGTTCAAACGATCAACTTTTTGGTTAGCAGCCAAGCACTTAACCATTGCGCCCCCAGGGCTCTCCTCCCTACAGTATATAGAAAAGAAAAGGCCAAGGGCTTGCTTTGTTTCACTCTTGTTTTCCAAATGTAAAATCATGTTCCAGTGTTAACTACAACCCCTGCCCTGCCATGAACCAGTAAGAATTGCTGTCAGGCAGTCCTGGGCTCCGGGTCAGCCCAAGCACTTGCTTTTAAAGTTGAGTTGAATTCTGGCAGAGTCTGGCCCACTGTGACTGGGTGTTCTGATGCCATGCTGGGAAGTGGTAGGGAGGAGCTTCCCACCTGGGACTGGCTGTGGTGGGATGCAAAAGAGACCAGATCCGGAGATGGTTCTTACCACGGGGGCCGTGAGCCTGCGTCTCAGGAGGATGTGGCAGGAGAATGTCAACACAATGGCTATGGTGGACACGATGGGCGCCAGGGCTGAATTTCCACTTTGGACAAATCCAGCTCTTTCCAGTAACTTCCTTTCCCTCTTTCTTACGTCTGTGAAATAGAAGGCAGGCCAAGGTGACCTCGTCTTGCATGTCAAGCACCAGCATTAAGAAAGGAATCAGCCCTCCCTGATCTTCCTTCAAATGAGTGTTTGTGAAGTTCCTGCTGTGAAGCCTAATGAGAGGGAGTACATAAAAAGCACAGAGCACGAACCCAGCAGCCAGTACAGGTCAGATGCCATGATTTCCAAGGCCCCTTCTTGTCCTGATAACTGTGTGTGTCAGGAGTCATGAACTCAGATGCCTCACAAGGAACGTAAGTAGGCCAGTGGGTAGGATGCAGGACCAGAGGGAGGGTGTGGAATGGGGCGAAATGAGTATCCCGTGTCTGGCTGAGGGGGTGGCCTTCCTCAGTGCCAGTCAATGGTGACCATGCTGACAAGCAAGCCTAGTGTCCCTTCAATTGTTTGGAAGAAGTCTAGGATCCAGATTTTTATGACACATCCTCCTACTTGTAAATGCTGGCAACTAATTGAGAAAAGTTTTTAAATATTGTAGGAGCCAAACAAAGCACATATGCTGGCCTAAAGACTATGAATTGGGGCCCCTGCTTGTGTCCCAGGAAGGACTATAAAAACTCAAGAGCATTTCCTGCCTTTCACAAGTCCAGATGATGCCCACGACTCTGTACTCATCACAAAGTAAGCTCAGGCTTCCTTCCTCTGGGGTCTAAAGTCCTCAACAACCCTGACTCCACTCTTATCTGCAAGATCCCATTCACGTTAGCAATGTAACAGCCATGGTTATTGCTGACTGAGTGCCCACTATGTGCCAGATGCTCTGTTGACCACTCCACATGCGCCATCTCGCGAGATGGTTCTCCCCACTGTGTGACAAGGGAGAGGAATTACTATGCCTTTTTGACAAGAGAGGAACTAGTCTGAGTGGGGTTAAGTTACTTGCCTATGAAGGGATGGAGCCAAGATTGGCACCCAGTTCTACTGTGATCCTAAACTCTGCTATCAGGTGCCCTTCCCCTCAAGGACACCCTGCCACCTCCTTTTCCGCAAGCACGCCCACACATCTCCACCTCCAGGCCTCTGCTCTTACCTGGGAGCTTCCCTACCTCTCTGTGCATCCAAATATCCCTGTCCTTCAAGGCCCACCTAAAAGGCCACCCCTGCCTTGGTCTCTCCAGCCCAATTTGCTCTCCCTCAAACCCCCATGGAGCTCCCTCAGTTTCTCCTGTGGCACTTTCCTCCTTTCATCCTGTAGAATAATGAATTCATGTATTCACTCATTTCAACAAATTTTAATCTTACATCTACTATATGCCAGGCACTGTGCTTGGTGCTGGAGAATGTCAGTGTAAACAGGGTCTCAGTCCTCTTCCAGTGGGGAGATAGACAATGAAGAAATAAACCATTACATAATTACAGGTTGTGTTGAGTGACAGGAAAGAAACAAACAAGGTACAGTGATTAAGAGGAACTGGTGGGCAGTGGACCTGCTTGGGACTGGGGTCAAGAGGGTCTCTTTGAACAGGTGACATTTGAGAGGAGACCTAAAGACAAGAAAAAGTCACTGTGAACATGTAGCAGAAGAGCACTCCAGGCAGAGGGAACAGCAAGTGCAAAGCTCCTGAGCAGTGACTGAGCTTGGTGTGTGGTTCTAGCAGAGGACAGAGGTCGGCATGGCTGGGGTGGAGTTCTCCAGGGTGTGTCAGGGGCAGTGAGGTCAGACTGCTCACCAGGGACCTGATCATGCCAGACCTAATAGGCCATGTGACAGAATCTGGATTTCAGTCAAAGTCTTAAGTTGGAGTAACTCTAAGTGTGATGAGAAGCCACTATACTTGTCAGGGGCAAGGAGGAGGACATGATCTGACTGACATTTTTAAAAGATCACTCTGGCTTCTGGGTACATAATGGATAATAGGAGACAAGTGGGAAGCAGGAAAGCATTGTAGTTCTTGGAGGGAGAGAATGTTGGCTTGGACTATGGTCGTGGTGGATTGGAGAGAAGCAGATGGGTTCTGAATATATTCTGGAGGTAGAGCCTATGAACTTGTAGCTATTTTTGAGCTTCATTAGCTCATCCTCCCTTAATCTCTAAAGCAGGGACCCTTTT